TATACATATACATATACATATACATATACATATACATATACATATACATATATATATATATATATATATATTTGTTTAGATAATGTGAAATACCATTATGCATCACTTTCTGCAAATTTTTGGTAAGATTGCTGTAAAATTAATTCTTTATTTTATTGCACATTCTGGATCTTTAAGAGAAAAATGATAAAAAGATAAAAAAAACATTGTCAGATTTTGGTAACCCTAATACAGCAAACAAGAATAGTATAGTCAGTTAAATCTAAATTAATTTGTAAAGAAATAAGATACTGAGTTTTGTAAAGTTACTTAAGAATAGTGTAGAAGGTAATATTTTTAGGATCCAATTTTGGTCAGTAACCGGGACCAAAAGTTTTGCTTTCTGACCTTTTGGACTCATACTGGAGCCCATCCTGAGGGAACTTCTCTCTATCAGAATGTGTGCTTTGAGCTATTCTATACATCAGGGATCCCCAACCTTTTTGACGCCGCGGCCCGGTACCGGCATCAGCTGGGCGCCGCGGCCCGGTACCGGCATCAACTGGGCGCCACCATCTTTTTTTGATGAAAAAGTGCTTCCGGTGAGCTTTCTACCCGGAAAAGCTCACCGGAAGCACTTTTTTACCAAAAAAAGATGGCGGCGCCCAGCAACCAGCGGCCCGGTAAGAGTTGTTCTGCGGACCGATACCGGTCCGCGGACCGGCGGTTGGGGACCCCTGCTATACATAGTATTTATGTGTTGCCTGGTTGTGTGGCTTTTTAGTTGTTGATTGGGGTGTTGATGAATATTTTTTAGTTCAGAATCTTTATAGCTCCAGGTTGAACTATGGAATCCTTGATGCTCTGAGCTTTTCTATTCTTGCAGACATTTAATTACCAAATTAGGTAACATCATCAGTACTAAAAGGGAATGGCTTTGCTCTTACAAGAATAGCTATTAATATGTTGGGCCATGTATCAGTCCACATCTAATATAATTCCCTCATTTGGGTCTCTTTGCTTAGTTTTTCCCTTGCTTAGTTTTCCTTAGAACTACAAGACAGCTTGTTTAGATGATAAATGTGTTTTTCCAATAATTGGTTTTTGAAATATGGACTTTTGTCATAGAATTAACTGATGTATTTTCTATTTTGAAGCATTGGCCTATATAATTTGTATCTATCTTTCACTTTGCCAAAGGCAAGAAGTTTAGAAGTTTCTGATTCTGATTAACAGCAAACCCAGTTCATCATTTTGCAACCAAGAATGTGCAAATTGGAATTGGATTTCTAATATATATCTCCTTTGGCATTCTAGCTTGCCCTCAAACTACAATTTACAGGAAAAATAGTTCCCCACCTTTAAATTAAAATCTTTATGATCTTCTCTTAGCTGGACATGAAATATGTACTCTTCTGCCCTCATGCACAAAGATGGGAAGGAAAAAGGTAAGAAAAAAAGGAATTAAATTTAGAGTAAGCTATCTAAATTCCCTGTTTCGAGAATAACATAAACAAACACCTTATAAAGGATATGCAAATATTTTGTACTACATGTACAAATGTATTCTGGCCTTTGTCATAGTGTTGTATTCTGTCAGAATCAATATTTTGTAGGTGAGTAAACAGGAGTGGATTATTTGAAGATGATGGTTGAAAGTGTTGACTTCCACATGTTCAGAATTTTGACTTTCAGCCTTAGCCAATATGGTAATGGGTTAATGATTATAGAACCTGTAGTTCTGGGATGTTCAGTCCAGGGGTGGAATTCTACCAGTTCGCACCTATTCTCTAGAACCAGTTGTTAACATTCTAAGCAGTTTGGAGAACCGGTTGTTAGAAGAAATTACTGGCCTAATCCTGTAAGGAAGGCAGGAAGGAAACATTCTGGTGTTGCTTACAGAAACTGCCTCTCTGTTAATCCTTATTACATTCTTGGCAGGACTAGACTTCCTGTCTCAGGAACATCTCTGGAGTTTTTTCCCCTCCTTTGCTGGTACTTTGCTTGTGTGGAGTGACCATTCAAAATTATAATGGCACTGAAAAAAGTGACTTATGACCATTTTTCACACTTATGACTGTTGCAGCATCCCCACAGTCATGAGAGGCCAGGCGAGGAGATGCGTGCCTCGATGTGAGTGATGTTGAGTTGGCCATGCCCAGCCAATAACATGACCACCAAGCCACACCCACCAACTAAGCCATGCCCACAGAACCGTTTGTTAAAAAATTTGAATCCCACCCCTGGTTCAGTCCCTAGACTTATTGTAGAATAACAATATTTTTGTTGCTTCTGGAGGCCTCATTTCTTCTAAATAATTGATGAGTAGAAAAAGACTGGAACATTTTGTCCTATATACATTTTGATTTAATTTATGCTGGAATGTTGACATTTGTTGTAAATACATACTTTTTGTGGTTTTATCATTTTGAAGAACATTTCTGGCCAGTATAGAAAGGCATTTAAGGGTTCTCCTTGCTGAATTTCCTATTACTCAGATTTCTGGAAGTACTTTTAGACTGAATCATACATTTTTATACATTGAAGAAGAGATATAAAAAATGCCTCTTTCCCCAGAGTGCTTTTTGAAATATTTTGAACAATACATGTTCCCAACTTGGTTTCAAAAACTATATTATTTTAATACCCATATAACTGAATCAGTGAAACCTAAACAGCCTAATTTTGTGTGTGTGTGTGTGTGTGTGTGTGTGTTAGAATATTTTCCTCAAAAGAGCATAGTTTTCTTTCTAATTTGTATTTTTTTTGAAATTTAGATAACAAATGTAGTAACTTTAACTTTTCAGACTATTCTTTTTTTTTAGTTGTTTCCTCAGATTTTGAATTTTTAACTCCCTTTCCCTTCTTTTTCCATTTTACCCCACATTGAATTGTTTGGTCATTAAATATGGCTTCTTCTTTGTCCAGCCCTTCTTATTCTTCAAGCATTTCTTGTTGTTTTTCATAGTTCAAAATCTCCTTTTCTAAAAATTGAAGTGCGAAGCCTAAGGATCCTCCTCCCTCTTGCGACTCTTCTTTCATTTTTTAAGTTCCATTTTTAATTCCTCAAGGAGTACTGCCATTTTAAGCACTTTTAAACAACCACCCGATTAATTTTAATTCAAACCACTAAAAATTCAACACCCAAAATTCCCAAAATCACCAAATAATCCAAAACTATTTATTCTTGCTTCTTTTTTCCACTTTCCCTTTCCGGGGACTCTGTTATCTTGTAACACAGTTTCAGTTACAATATATCCTTTGGAAGTCTTGTTAAAATTTCACAGTTAATTCTTTTAATTTCCAGGTGGCACTCTCTGTTGTTTCCGAGTCCACCTTTTCTTTTTTCCTCCACTTTCCTCCTTTTGAAGGCTTTAGAATATCCAGAAAGTCTTTATTTTCCCTTTGACACTTTAATTTCAGCTTAAAATGGTCTATTAGTGTCAGAGTAAATTAACACAAATTTCTTATTTAAATCTCTTCTTTTTAGCATTCAAAGCCAATTGCAACTGTCCATGTGAGAAAGAAAAAAATCTTTTTTTCCCTTTTCCCTCTCTTCTCTGCCACTTTAAAAATCTTCTTTTAGGAATAACACTCTTAATAATTTTAGTTCCAGAGTACCTTGCGTAGATGTTATCTCTACTTAGCCCGGTCTGTCAAGCTCTCCCCTTTGTCTTCCCTCCTGCTCAATCTTGTCCGGTTGGGTTCCTCTTTGAGGGTGGCCATTTCTGACCACCGCTGCAATCGCCTTTCGGAAAGGGAGTAATGGCTAGCCGAGGAGGAGAGATGTAGCTCCCCTCGACTCAGCTGGCGGTCTCCCCGCTCTTCACCATCTCTACAGGGTGGCTTCAGCCCTGAATCCAAAGGATCAGGGTGCTCCAGCGGTGAGCACAGATCGAAACCGCGCACAATCATGGATTTCTGTCCGTCGCCGAAGAAAGGTAGAACACTACAGATAAATGACAAAATAATACATTTCATCCTGAGAGATCAGCATCACAGCAAAACAATTCTCCTAAGGTCCAACTTTACCAGAAACCACAAACCCAATTTTATTTGGAATTTCATTCAGGATATGGTACTTAGCCTATTTTGTTCAGTAAATAACTAGCAAGCAAACGCACAAAATTAACTCACAACACACCATTATGTAAATATTGACTTTTTTTATTAAAAAAGAGCAACTTTTACCCAAAATCAGACAAAGCAGGCAGGCCGATTGAGTTGCTCCCAGTATCACAGATTCACTCAGCGATCTACCATTCTGCAATCTGCTGAGTCTGCACTGAAAAATAGAAGCTAGGAAGGTTCAGCTGTGTTTTTAGATTACCTAGAAAGCAAGAAATCCAACAATT